TACATGTCACAAGTAGTTTTTTAAATGTCGAGTAGTAAATGTGTAGTTTATGTAACTAATGTAGTTTTTTAAATAACAGTGAAAACATAACCTAAAAACTTTGTTTGTTGATCAATCTAAAGAAATAAAAAAACCTATATTTTGTGAATTTGTTCCTTATTATGTGATATTTTTGATACTTAGTAGTTAAAAATGCTTGGAAGGCGTTGATGTCTCCATACCCTGCTCCATACCTTCTGGAAAGAGGGGAGTTATGAAGTTGTGCCTTTAGATGTAAGAAATCATATATTCTCCTGGGGAATGTCTATGGAGAATATCTACATAAGAATTTATAGTTTATTTTGTGTTCAATGTTACTTTGTATTTCGTAGAAAATGCACTTTTGTTGAAAAAAAAATTGTCTTTTTTTCTGATGTTTAACTTATACAAATATAATATAACTTCATACTTCCATGATAAGCATTTGGCTTGATTTTTGTTTAAAGTCTAAATTGTTTATGTTTTACTTTATTTTTGTAGGTAGTTTTTAACGTAGTTTTTGTGTAGTTTTTGAAGGTAGTTTTTAAAATTTTAAAACGTAGTTAATACAAAAAACTACGCGTAGTTTTTTGCTTCATAAACTACTTAACAACCCTGGTCTACACTACGCACCTCGAACACTACATTACGGACCTCGCAAATATGATGCCTCCGACGTCCTCATTTCATCTAGCGTCGCCACTGTGTGCCTGATGTATATGCTTTAGCCGTACAAAATGTATCTCATTAACTGAAAATTAAAAATCATTTATGTAAATTGAGATAACATACCTATTAAAGTATGTTGTGTTTTTCTCTAACTGTTTTTTGTAGCACAGTTAACAAGAAAAACAGAATATATTAATAGTTATTCCTTTAGAACTGTTCAGTCATACGCATATGAATACTTTTTCTAGTGTTCTGTTTCTTCTTCAGATTGACAAAACCTGCACACGGGGTTGTCCGTCATTTCAGAAATTCAGAAATCACAATCAAAAAGCCATAACTTAGACGCCATTGTGCATTCTCTCTCAGGAAATACGTATCTTCTAAGCCACCATCCAACCTAATTTAGAAAAGCAGATAGCAATATTAATTGCTGGCATCACTCTTAAATCGGTACCAGTAGGACGAATTTCGCCCATAATGAACTCTCTGATTGATTGATGACGGTAGCGTTTTTGCCCATAACACAATAGAGAACAACGGCATACGGTCGAGTCGGCCTACAAACACGAAAACGTTTACGCATGCGCATTTCTTATATTTTTTATTTTTTATACACGTAAAAGATTATTTACGTCTACGTATACGTGCCAGCAGCGGCCGACTCGACCGTATGCCGTTCTCTATTAACGCTTCGTTCTACGTGGGCGGCAAAAGCGCGCGATTCGACCGACACGTGTTTTTTCCAACAACGTTTTCTTATGAAATCGTCCTACGTCGGCGATGCAGGACACTTTCATAAGCATAGATAACAGAGCTAATTTATAAGTTTCATAAGAAGTTATTCATTGTTCATAAGAAAATGTTTTTTGTTAATGTCGCGTCGCCCGTATCGCCCGCTTTTTGTCGTCCACGTAGGACGAAGCGTAAGCCTTCTCGTCTTTGGTCCCGCTTAGTGTTTAGCCTTATGAAAATGGCTATCGATTGGCAACGTTTAGCAAGTATTCCACTTGATGATTGAAGACTGCTTCTGGTCTTCTGGTTTTTCTGTACATCGCCAAAGATGTAATTCTTGTTTTCTTATTGAGGTACTGCAAACTTTCTTTAGTCCAATTCCAACTATCTGTAATCGCTGCACTAGACAATAAGCTGGAGGACGCTGATCCAAATATATTTAATCTGACTCTCCCCTTAGCCTATATGCCAGTCTTGTTATCATTAATGTTGTGTCGCTAGCTACACTGGTTGACACTACAAACAACCAATGTGAGTTGTGCTAAATTTAAAATTGACAGCTTTGGTTCTTTAACGTGTCGACACTACGAAGTTCTGAGAACGGGGCTTTACATTGTGCGTGTTCTTTGGCCTAGCCCAATCTATCATATGAGAACAGCTATACAAATACAATATAAAAACATACATATGCTATATTGAAGAAAAGCCTCGATACTAAAACTATCAAATTCGTTTAATTTTAGCATTATATGTATAGGATGTTTCACGGCGATGGCACGTTAGACGTTTATGGATAACCGGTGATAGAATTTTTTTGAAAATTTGGATTTTTACATAAAGACACATGCGCCATCTATCTGAAATATTTTCAGCGTTACAATGCTGCCGCATCATTTGAAAAGTGGTAGCATCTTTCTTACTTTAAATGGAACACCTGGTATATTATTTTTTTGGAAACTACTTTCATATAATAATTTTACTATTATACTAACCTATACCTATATCTCTAACATTTTTTGATGGTAAAATCATGAATTGAACATTTTCACTTTTAACACGTTAAATTTGGGTTACAAGTTATTGAAAGTTTATATTCCATTTGTCTAAATCAATCCATTGGATATTACACACTATTACACAGAGAGAGCCAAAATTATTATCTCATTTGATATAAAATCTTTGTTATATCAAATTCAACCCTATGCATATTATTTAATAAATGAAAAGACTAATATAAAATATATTTTCATATACAGGGTGATTCCTGTAAGTCGGTCATGCTTTCGGGGAATGATAGAGGACGTCGAAATATTAATTTTGATATAGCGCACTATGGGTCGGAAATGCCTCTTACGCAAGATACAGAGTGTTAAAGTTTTTGAAAAATTAAAGATATTCTTTAATAGTTTTTTTAACAGTTGAATGTATCGTTATAAAATTTTATTATAGGAGTCTACCTAACAGAGACACTTTAAATGTAAAAAGAAGAGGTTTTAGTTTCAACCAGTGGCGTAGATGTGATACACATCGGGTAATTTTTACAAAAAATTAGTACGCCACTGATAAAAAATAAAATTTTTAGAGTTTTTTTATTTACTCGGTTTATTTCCAAGCAAAAATGTCTCTTGCAGCTTTCTCCGATCTAACACCATTTTGTCACAATTTAAAAATAAATACATTTTTAATGAAAATCTTAAATACAGCGAATTATTATAACTTGAGGGCAGAAACACATGTGCATCGTCAGCTCTCTTCATCACTTACATATGAATTTAAATAGGCCCTTAAATAATTTTTTTTAAAAATTATAAATTTAAACTAGAAATTTTTTATTGTTAATAATAAAATTCTTAGTTTACTTAATTCGCATATTTAAGGTTCGCTTTAAAAAATTATTTATTTTTAAATTGTGACAAAATGGTGTTAGATAGGAGAAAGTTGCAAGAGACATTTTTTTTGGAAATAGACCAAGTAAATAAAAAACTCCGAAATTTTATTTTTACCAGTGGCGTACTATTTTTTTTGAAAAAATTACCCGATGGGTTTCACATCTACGCCACTGGTAGAAACTAAAACCTCTTCTTTTTACATTTAAAGTGTCTCCGCTAGGTAGATGCCTATAATAAAATTTTATTACTATACCTTCAACTGTTAAAAAACTATTAAAGAATATCTTTAATTTTTCAAAAATGTTAACTCCCTGTATCTTGCATAAGAGGCATTTCCGACCCATAGTGTGCTATATAAAAATTAATATTTCGACGTCCCCCATCATTCCCCGAAAGCATGACCAACTTACAGGAATCACCCTGTATATTAAGGATATATCATGTACCTAAACCTTTCGGTTTTTAAGTAGAGCTATTTAAAAATTAATAATTTTATTATTATAATAATAAAAAAAATCCCACGGAGGTGCTTTTATGCAAAAATCCAAATTTCCAAAAGATCCTATCACAGGTTCTCTATAAACATACCCTGACTGTGAATCACCCTGTATAAATGGTGAAAATAATGTCAAAATTAAAAAATAGACGCGTTTAAGTTTCTTTTGTATTGAGTATTTTAAAACGAACTTTTTCTCAATAATCACCATGTTCTTTCACAACCGACACTATGTATACCGGGTGCGTCTCAAAATTGGTTCACCCCTATAACTTTTTTTATTTTTTCAGATAAAACAACGAGATTTGGTATGTTAGTATATGATATAAATTGGGATTGATTCACATAAATTGGGATTGACCGGTTTCGGTATTTTTTTACTTTATTCTGAATAGAATGACATATCACATGTCAACTTTTGACATTTTCGCATATATGGTTTATTTGAAATTGTAACATGCGGTTCATAACGACAATTTGACTCGAAATACCAAGTGTGTGGTATCAAATTATTCGTAAAAAATGCTTTTTCGAAATATGCTAGTGAGCCACCCTCGTTCCATTTGAAAAAATTGAGAGATGGTCAAAAATACGATTTGAGCATCTTTTAACCGGCCAGGATAAGACATTAGACGATCAAATCTATTTTTCCAAGGCTCCTTGATTAAAAATTAGTGTTTTTGACACAGCCATGGCACTCTAGATTGAAATTTAAAATACAATTTGTTTTTGAGCGAATATGTCAAAGTTGTCATATGATACGTCATTCTATTTAGAATGTCATTTTCTATCGAATAAAGTAAAAAAATACCGAGGGTGCCATTTAAAAATCAAAAGTTGTGGTCATTTCCGGTGAAACAGGAAGTGACAGAAAACAATTGAATACGTCAATCAATCCTAATTTATGTCATATACTAACATACCAAATCTCATTTTTGTATATAAAAAAATAAAAAAGTTATAGAGGTGAGCCACTTTTGAGACGTACCAGGTAGCATTCTTCAATAATCTTCTTGTCCTAAAAAGCATAAATTTAGTTTTAATTTTACTTCGTTTTATTTTGTTTACTTTAAATTAAGTTCTCTCATAAAAAAAGTATGTATTGGAATATAAAGAAAAAATTGTAAATTCTTATAGTGATTTTTATTAAGTTATTCATTCTTTAATAAACTATTTCTATGTATATTTATTTATAGAATAATTGCTGTAAACTACTGTGCGCGAGACAAAGGCGTAACAAGACATATGAGGGGAGATGAGGCAAAACAAAAGTGTCCTGATATTCATCTAGTAAAAGTTCCACAAGTTCGAGGAAAAGCCGATTTGACAAAGTAAGTAGCATATTAGAGAAAAATATTTTTTTAATAATATATTCCTGATATTTTGAATTTAATAATAAAACACTACTCAAACCCTTGGAATATTTTCTTGTCAGAGAAAGCTAATGGCTAACGTTGTCAAATTCCTAGAATTTCCGGGAGATGTTTTTTTGTAAATGTTTTTGAATTCAAAAAAACTGGCCAGTTTTTTTGAATTCAAAAGTTTAGGCATCATGGAAAATTGTAAGTGCTTTGTATTCGTAGGTTTTACATACTACTGTACTAATAAGCGAACAGATCATTCAAATTCAATATGGCGGAATTTTAGTGTTATAAACGTTTCTTTTATAAACATTTTGAAAAATTTCGATTTAGCGCTATCTGTGTAGAAATTATGAACCAGTCACCTGTCAACAACGCCAATCAAAACTTGTGATCAAAGTAATTAAAATATTTTTATTTACTTATTATAACACAATTAAAACATGAAAATTTGTATTCCATCATTGTGGAAAAAAGAGAAACAAATCATATCTGTAATGCGTATAATAAATTATTATAAAATCGCATAAGAAAAATATCTGTATTTGTACTCACCATATGTCCTTCCTTCTGCTTTTTTAATTATAGTACTATAAAAACTTAAAGAATGCTTAAATGCAAAAACAGCAGAACAAAATCCAAACAATAAAGTAAGGTTATGTTCTCATATTTGACAGAATATCAAATAAATTATGGAAACTTTTCAGGCACTAAACGGGTACGAAACTTTTGTAAATATGAGCCACATCTGTTTCTTAAAAGTGTCGAAAAATTTGTGACTCTAAGATCTTTATTGTTATAGCTTATTTAGCGGAACCATATTTTGGTAAAAAAATGGCAAACAAAAAGCGATTTATGTTACGAAACATATGTATCAAAAATGTGTCGAATTAATTCCAAAACTTTTGTGTCTTGACACAAACAACGTCATTGTTTCGAAACTGTTTCGCAATGTTTCTCAGCAGAGATTTTGTTTCGATTTTGTGTCTAAAAATGCTACTTGGGCATAATATCCTTTAAATGCAAAACAATTTGCAGTCCCCTATCCCTATTCTGCTCCTAATTTTATATTTTGTTGCAGGTATAGAGACGCAGGAAAAGAAGTTGCCGATGTGTTATTAACATTATCTTCCAATTTAGAAAGAGCGTCGGTTGATGACGCTTATTTAGATATTAGTGATATTGTCGAACAAAGAATTAGTTCTAATTGTAGCATTACTAGGGACAAATTGAAGAATACCTTTGTCGTTGGTAGCCCCGTTGGCGAATTTATTGCTAATGTGAACACTAATATAGAATTAGACGACAACAATAAGCGACTAGCTGTAGGAGCAATAATTGCCGAAGAAATACGAGAGAAAATATTTGCCGTCACTCGTATGTAATTTTGTTTATTTATTTTGAATTTTGTTTTGTTTATTAACAATTCACATTAGATGTCTCTGTAGAAAGGTTCCCTCCTTATAGAGATATGACATTTAAGCCGGTTTTAGAGTTCCGAAAACATAACGCGTGATATTCAATTCAACCAATAAAATTAATATCGTATCATCGTATCGTCGGACAACGGATGCATGAAAATCAAGCTTTTAAGACGTAGGAATAATTCATTTTGTAATTGACATAACTATAAGAAGTATGCGTATTTCCATTTTTTATTGGGCATTGTTGTCTAAATTGCAAGTAAAGGTCTTATTGGCTAGTTTATTTAGTTATAATAATTATAACAAAATAAGTGTAACAGGTTTCTTATATTACTGTTAAAAAAGGAAAGGTTTCTTTATCTACCGACTGAATTCAATTCAAATTCATTTCTCGAACAAGACCTATCCTTGCCGCATACAAGACCTAACCCTGTGCAGTTTACCACATACTGTTATAGAACAGTATCGCTTACCGTCATTGTATTGTTAAGTTTTATATTTATTGCGGCTTAGAGTTGAAATGAGTTGAAACTTTTCTTATTATACAGATATCGGTTCGTACAAAATATCTTTCATAATTATCGTTATGTTGGAGGCAGATGCCGAAAATTAGACATATGGCGATCTACCTATATCCACAAAGTTACGCGGAAGAGTTTTGATTGCATTGGTTTCAACTTCTATGCGGAGGGTGTTAATCTTTTGTTGTTATATTATACCAAAAAAAGATTAACCCCCTGGCAAGTTTAGTATGGACAAATCGCCATATGTCTAATTATTTTGGACATTGACCGAAATTCGGCATCTGCCTCCAACAGTTATATCAACAAGCGCGAAAGGGCTATTTTTTCTGTTTTATATGTTCATATATTTCATTTCTATCATCTGTATCACAGAAATACTGAAATTTGCGATATTTTTGATTGAAGCAAAGTTTGTGTTATAATTTTTTTTAATATGAACAATTTACATTTCTACTATTTTACTGAACCGTTCCGTATTTAACGGATATTTTTCAGGAATCAATTCTAGTAATTTTTCAACCTCGTTTTACAATGCAATCCAGCCTGTGATAACTGTGGCGTATGTTAAACTAATTTGTACAAGAGAGATGGTACAACTACACATTCTGCGCATTATAAACAAAACTGCCTTTCTATAAAACCGCACTTCCTCCAGGTTGACCGCCAAAGTATGACTCGATATTGGTTTGGATTGGGTTGGTTGGTTGCAGTTTCCAGTGATGACGCCTACAATTATTAGGCGTACTAGGTTCTTTTTGTGCTCTAGTAGTTTTTTTGTCTTTTTGTTATCTACCACTGGCCACAGTCTTCGAGCTGTCATTTTATATATAAACAAAGTGTTGTGAGTCCTCACTGAGTTGCCACGTTCTTGCTGCTTGGCCTTGATGGTAGTTCCTATAGCTTTCTTCACTGTGTTGATCGTCACAAGTGGTGGGTTATCTGCCACGGCCTCCCCCTGGCCCCCTCTTTGGCGAGTCTGTCTGCTTCTTGGTTGCCCACCACATTGCTGTGGCCTGTCACCCAGCACAGAGTAGCCCCGCCTTGGCGCAGCCAGGACAGTAGTTCTCGGCTGTCCATCACAGTTTTCGATCTCACTGATTGCATGGTGATACTTCTTAAAGCGCCCAAGCTGTCAGAGTATATCTCGATATCTCCTATTGGTCTATCAGCGATTTTCTCTCCTATACAGCTGGTCTCTTCCTTTATAGCTTTTAACTTCTGCTTGTAGAACATTACAGCCATCCGATAGCCTTAAAGATCGTCGGATGTCTAGTTCCCCTCAGAAGATGCCTATACCTGTGCCTCCTGAAGTTACAGAAGCATCTGTGCAGACTGCTATCATTTGAGTGTTCATTACTCGGTTGCCTTCCCATTCTTCTCTTGTCGGGATGCGAATCCTTATCTTTTCTCCAAAATCATGTTTCGTGAGCATATAGTCCGTTTTCTGGTCTAGCAGGCTGTGGATATTTTTGGAACTCGTGTTCGCCATAATTTTTCCTATCACTGGCAATATCCTCGAGTGACTCTAGTTGGTGGGTTGGGACAGATTGGATTCCCTTAATCTTAGGGTACCCTTAATCTTGGTTCTACCATAGATATTCGCTTATCTAATGTTATGTAACAAGTCGGATTTTGAGGTCCACTGATGCTGCGTTTATACCTAAACAGAATGCCTGCATGTGTACGAGGCGCGGTAGGTGACGATCCGGTACTCAACACCTAGCTAAGGCGACTGGCTGTCTAATGAATAGGATGTGGTCTTAAATAAAATATCCAATGAAAACGTATTCATTTAAACTTTTACCAGTCTTTCGCAGTCGGCAAAATTCGCAGCGAATATTCCCAAAAATTAAATCAGTTTCAATATTCCCGCCTCCAGATTGTAAATTATGTGAATTCGCAAAATATTAAAACAAATTTCTGTCAATTTTGCTATCGCCGTATTTTTTTGAAATCAACCAATAACAACAATATTGTATAATACCACCACACACATTGTATAAGACCAATAACACTAATCTAATAACTATTTAGTCACCATGTTTAATTTATGTCAATGATGACAGGTATTGATAATTTCGCTTCCAAATATCTCGAGAACCATATTATTCGTAGCGATTTTTACCAAGAGACCATTTTTATGTAAAAACGTCCTAAATGTATATTTTCTTACTCAGTAGTTTTATACAGGTACGGACAAAAAGTTATAACTCTTCAAACTAGTTAAAAAATATGTAGGTGGCGCCCTTTACAAGTAGGAGTCATTGACATCAAAATCAAATTTCTCATGTCAAAAAACTTCCAGACACCCATTTTCATTCAAATATTGACGTTACTTCTTATTTGGATAAAATCGAAATAAAAATGAAATTTCTAGACTATCTATCTCCGAAACTAAGCGTTTTAGAACATACATATAAAAACTTTTTTACTTATTTTTGTCTGCAGAATATGCTGCCGAAGTTTCCGGAATACAGTTCGGACCACCCTGTATTAAAAAATTGCACATATACATATAGTTGTTAGACTAGAAGTGCTTTTATATTTTTTAGACTACACATGCTCAGTTGGTATTGCCCATAATAAAGTTCTTGCAAAACTTGTTTGTGGATTACATAAACCCAACAGACAAACTATTTTGCCCTACGAAGCCCTCCCCCTTTTGTATAAAGATATGCCTATAAAGAAACTTAAAGGATTGGGTGGAAAATTGGGATCAGAAGTATCAGAAAAGTTAAATATTGTAAATATGGGAGAATTAATACATTTCAACCAAAAGGATTTAATTAAATTATTTGATGAAAAAATAGGGTAAGTATATTTAAGAAATAAATGGATTTGTATATATTATGATTAGTTGATATTTTAGATAGTAGTTCTAATTTTCTCTTTAACATTAGCCATGAGAACTTGGCCTTAATAATTTAAAATGTCCATTCTTGTCCAATGGTCCTACTTGTCTTGAATATTTTAGAATGCTCTTGCGCTCACGATGAGACATTTCTTTCGGTTAACGTTTACAAATATTATTAGAATTGAGAAGACGAAAATGCTAATTTATACATTTATAACATTAACTTGGATACTATCAAACCAAAGTCTAGATAATTACAAAGCATTAACCTGTCAAATACTATTTGGAAAATTGTTATAAACCTTATAATTAGGTATAAGCAAATTAATTTGGTATTACTATTAGACCGAAAAATATAAAATTTCCCATATTTATTAAGAACTTCTAGGATTAGGCCTAATGTTAGTTATGCGGTATGGAGTCATGAACGCTGACATTTGTTTATATTTATAATTTATATTTTTCGGATTACAGTGGCCTGCATATAATATAAGCAAAAAGGTGTTGCCTACCCTAGACAAAATAATAAAATGTAGGAGTAACTCAAGGATACTATAGAGATAAGGATAGTTCGATTCCAATCTTCCTGCACTGTCAGTTTTTTTACGTCATCTGGGGACCGAGTTGAAGAGTTGGCGCTAAAGATTTTAGACAGTGACAGTTATTTTTGCATTTGACGGACGAGCGCACAGTGCGTTGGAAGATATATTTAGCGGGACAAAAGCGTTTGGTTAGAAATAAGCCAAAAAATGTGTACTGTAAGAATAAATAGTAGACATTCCAATTGATATAAAAATGCATGAATATTCTTTGTATTTCGATACATTTTTATCAACCAAATTTGGTCGTTTTCTGCTCAGCAAGACAGAGATCATACGAAAACAAAATATTTACAAGTGCTTATACATTTTATTCCAAAGCCAAATTATGTTGAAGATTGCCAAAGGTATGTATTTTTCTACTGTACGTATATTATTTGTTAAAATCCTTCGTGCCTTTGTTCTGCAGATATCAAACTTTCACTTTTTTTCAAATATCGATATATTGAATGATGTAGATCTTTTGAGTTACTAATAGTTAACCAACACAGGTAGTCACAGTCACAGGGAGTTCAAGCTTAACAGGTGAATGCCCAAAAAGTTTAATTTCAATCGGATAGTATAAAAACATAACAACTCCATCAAAAGGCACTGGCTTTAAAAACTTGTCTTAGATACTTACTATATATGAATTTACAATTACCGAGTGTTAAAATTAAAATGAAAATATCTATCTTAATTATTATTTTTAAAATAAAATATAATTTTTTAAAATAAAATATAGAGGGTGTCACAAGATTACAAAGTAATTAAAAAATAACTGCTAAAAGAGTTTCAGACTAGCAAAAAAAGCGCAACAAAACAACCCAATTGGAAAAAGGTCGCAAGGAAGGCCGCCAAAACGGTGGAGAGAATGCTGGACGTCGTCCTCCGGGGAAGACTTGTTAGGATTGAACAGGCGATAGCCTACCTATATGGGCAACCATAATAGAAAGAAAGAAGAAGAAGAAGAAGTATTTATTTATTAATAAATTAAGTTGTTAATAAATAAATAAATTTAACCATATAGTTGCTATATATTAGACCATTTTCTACGTTCTTAGATTTTAAGTCCCAAACATTGCTCTTGAGATTTTGTCCCGCTAGAATAACAATCCGCCGCACTGTGGAGCGCTGGTCCCTGCGTGACGTAGCATTCCACGGCGACTACGGCAGCGGCGATTTGACGCGATCGAACAGTCCTTTAGAATATATACAGTCCTTGGGAGTAACCGAGAGTAACTAACACTATGGAGATAAATCATATTTAGTGTGGGAGGCGAAATATTTCTCGATCTCTGCTATCATCAGCGCTTCTTAGCCAATGTATCTTTTATGATCTCTTATAATCTGGAAGTTCTTAATTTGAGACAGCTAAATCAATTGTGCACCCATAATTTTGTTAATATAAAAGTTCATTTTTAGTTTAAAGCAAATCATTTTAATGCAATGTTGCCTCTGTGTAATGTTCTATACCAATATACACTGTGTCAATTTTAAAATTTCCCACCCTTAATATCTTTGTTGCAGTTAAAAATATGAAAAATGGAAAGACATGTCAACTTTATATGTAAGAGGGACACTTTAAGTGAATATTTTTAGCCTTTTTTTGCAACCCCCTAGGAGGGGTAGATGTCACCCTTACAATCTTAAATGGGAATGGGGGTAAAGTGGCACATTGTTTTAAAAGGCGTCTAATTCACTTTCCAGTGGTATCCTACTTTGTTGCTTTTAGTCAAGAGATTTCCAAATAATCGCGTTTCAAAGTTGCAGAAACAATTAAACATGCCTCCATTGAGATTTTGGTTTTCAGGCTAGTGTTTACACAAAAATGATTGAAATGGATCTCCTTGTAGTACAAATGATCAGAAGATTAGGTTACACCACTTACGCCCTATCTTATACGTTTATAATTCGCCTTTTAAGATCATCAGTATCAGTAGGTTGTGTTTTATAAACAATGGATTTAAGATGTCCCCAAAGAAAGAAGTCTAAGGGCGTTAAATCCGGTGATCTTGGAGGCTATACAATTGGCCCCCTTCTGCCAATCCATGTACCCGTAAATCTCTCGTTTAACCACTGTCATACCGGAAGAAAATAATGAGGTGGAGTACCGTCCTGCTGGAGTACCGTTACATTGATTACACCGTCCGTAGGGCGTAAGTGGTGTAACCTAATCTTCTAATCATTTGTACTACAAGGAGACCCATTGCAATAAATTTTGAGTAAACACTAGCCTGAAAACCAAAATCTAAATGCAGGAATGCTTAATGGTCTCTGCAATTTTGAAACACGATTATTCGGAAACCTCTGACGCCCTTTAAAACGATGTGCCACTTGACCCCCATTCCCATTTAAGATTGTAAAGGTGACATCTACTCCTCCTAGGGAAAGAAAAAGGCTAAAAATATTAATTTAAATTGAAACAAATAAAATTGACTGAATCCGATTTTTCATATTTTTAACTGCAAGAAAGATATTAAGGGTGGGAAGTTTTAAAATTGACACAGTATATCGATGAAAAAATATGGGAATATTGTAGAACAACAAAAAATATTTTTTAGTTTTATTGGCCGCTTACACTTGTTTGTTTTTTGGAATGAGTGGGAAAGAACTAACATAATATAATCTCATACACACAGAGATATTTGACGTTTTGATCTAACTGTTCAAAAACTCGCGCGTGAAAATATAAACAACAAAATAGGGGAAAACGTGTAGGAAAGGCAATTTCATGGTTCATTATTTAATTTTATGTCCCGCCATGTTATCAGCCAAGAATTTATAAATAGTTAAGTTTTCTAAGAATTGATACGTTTTTAGAACCTGGTTATTTGACATTGCAAGAGGTATTGATATGGAACCAGTTAATACACGTCTGCTTGCAAAGTCTATTAGTTGCTGCAAACAATTTCAAGGGAGATCTGCATTAATTACACAAAAAGATGTTGAACATTGGCTGAACGAATTATCGGAAGAATTGCACGAAAGATTAAATAAGGATTTAGAAGAGAATAATCGTAGAGCCAGACAAATGGTTGTTTCTTTTAGTCAAAATAATCCAGAACAGAGTCATTGTACACGCTCACTTCCGTTAAATTCTAACGAGAAATTATTGATATATAATAATTTCTTAAATATAATTCAAAAACATTGTAAGAAATCAGACGGTTCTTTTTCTATTAGGTATTTAGGAATAGGCGCAACTAACTTTGAACCAATGAAGAAAACCAAAGATATTAAATTTTTCTTTCAAAATATGAAGGAAACTAATTCGCACGTAACTGAATATAAGAAATACAAAACCAATGCAACAAGTGAATCAGAAATAATTAATCAAACCGCCAGTATAGCCAACGATATTTTAATTGATGAGGATTCCTGTTACTTATCAGAAACACAGAATGAAGGCAAGGATGACACTACTTATGTATATTTTGAAGAAGTACACCCAGAATCGGTAAAAAATCAATCTTTTGTCGATGCTGATTTATCCAACAGTTCTATTAATAGTATCTCTGATGATTCTATCAAAGATGAAGTATATATTCAAAATTCAGATAATACAGTTAGAAAACAAAATATTGCTTCATTTTTTTCCAACTTTTATGATAGAACATTTGATACGTCTAAATGTTTTAAGCAAACGGGTAATTCATTCAATGTAGATATTAATTCTAGTAACGAAACAACTATAGACGAGACAAATGTCATTACATCAGAATGCCATGAGGAAAATGTAAAAATTAATAGCAACAATAACGTTAATTTAGTTGATGGTGATAATATAAATAAATGCCCTATGTGTAATAAATTATTATCAAGTAAGGAATATCAGACGCATATGGATTATCATTTTGCTTTAAAAATGGTCAAGGATGAAGAACATTTATATTCCGCTAATTTAGAAATATCTAAGAATATAAATTCCTTAGATGAGAAATCCACAAATATAAAAACAAATAAAAACAGCTTTGGAAATAAACGAAAACAATTAAATGAAAAATCTAAATCCATCCTAGGGTATTTTCAAAATCAAACTAATGAAATTAACACTGATTTATGTAAAATATGTAAGGAATGCAACAAGCAGGTGCTTATTGAAAATTATGACGTTCATATGGATTTTCATTTAGCAAAAAAAAATCCGTTTAGAACAAAATCAGATCCCTTCTACATCTTTAAAAAATAATTCGTGTATAGATAAAAAACCTAATAGCAATAATCAAGGTATAGTAAAATTTTTAAATAAATTATAACAGTTCATTTTTTTTATTTGTATTAGTCATTTTAGCTTTTAATTATAATTTATTATTTTTGATCTATATTAATTGATATAAATATTTGTAATTAATATTTATATTGTAATTAATTCCGCTATTATTATCGATTGTACAGTTTTTTACTTTAATTTTATATTGAGCAGGAGATAAAAATTATTGTATGATAAAGATTTGCCAAATGCATATTAAAGGAATTTAGGGCGTTGAAAGGGTAAATTTAAAAATATTTTTTTCTAAAATCGTGTAAAATTTGCGAGATAAAACTTAAAAAAATAAGCCATGCTAGCATTAAAGTTACCCCTAACGAAAATGGTAATACCGGGTGCGTCTCAAAAGTGGCTCGCCTCTATAACTTTTTTTCCAGATAAAACCTTAATGTATTTATTAAATTTATATTAAATGCCAAAAGTTGACATATGATATGTCATTCTACTCAGAGTGTCATTTTCTATCGAATAAAGTAAAAATATACCCAGTTCTAATCATTTCCGTTGAAACAAGAAGTGACCAAAACAATTGAATACGTCAGTCAATCCTAATTTATGTCATATACTGACATACCAAATCTCGTTTTTTTATCTGAAAAAATAAAAAAGTTAACACTTTCGAGACGCACCCGGTATAAAAAAATCGCCTAATCAGAAAGAGTAGTTATTGCATAATGAGAATTGTATAATTTTTGAGGGGTTGTTTTTTCAATGTAGGTTATTTTTAAAAACGACTATTTTAATACATATTTTATAAACCTAAAAGTTATATATTTTTTTTCTTTTTATAATTAGCTGTCTAAATGCGGGCCAATTAAATAAAAATAATTAATTAAACAATTAAATAACAATTAATTTAGCCATCTTATAATGATAACACATAATTAGTATAAAACCAGGGATTTTATTCAGTTTTTCCCAATTTTGAATATATAATATCTCAGTTTTAGGCTTTCATAATTAAATTTAACACCACATTATTTATTTAGGGCAGTGCAAGTTAGGGCTTTGGAGTTTTTCTTTCTTTACATTACTTAGTTTCAACATATGCGTTATTTTTTGTGAAAAATATGTGCTTGAATATTGTGATACTACATATTTTCCTTTACTATTCCACTTAATTTTTCTGTAAAAGTTATTTTTATAGAATGTCGTTTTAAAGGTAGGTTTTAGTAAGGACGACACATGTCGGCTGGATTGTTGGCCGACTTGTCTGTGCTAACGTAAACGAAATATATTTTATGTTGGGGTTGTAAGACGACATGTCGGTGTCGGACGCAAAAATTAATCCCACATGTCGAGTCGCCGTTCGTTTGTCACTAAGTAAACACTAAATTTGTTTATTTCTCGCAGTTTTATTCGCCAACCCGTTCCAAACTGTTGTGATTGTAGGTTAGGTATACGAGTTCGTTTGCGTTTCCGGTTTGACTTTTTTTGTGTTTTCAGTAACTCTATCGCATAGCTTCCTGCTAACACCACGAATGCTGATGCTACTACTTGTACTACTTGATCGTCTGCCATCTTATAGTTAACTGTAGCTTTCGATTTTTCAAATCGTTCTATCAACATGTCCGTTGCAAACAAGTAGCACCATAAACAGCCGTCAATTTTGCCAACTTGTCGGTCAGTAAACATGTCGGGCCAACAAGTTGCTAAGATTTGTCCTTACGAAAACCTACCTTAAGTTCTATTTATATAGGGTGAGTCTTATATAAGTGCAAATATTTTCAGGCTAGTAGATCTCGATAAAAGAAACATATTTTCACTTTACCGTTTTTCAAATAAGTCCATATGTAGTCTTTATTACCAATTTTAAAATTTTTATCACCCCGATTTTTTTACCATTATACTATAATAATTTTATTTGTTGTATATAATAAACTTTATTTTTATAAAAAAATGATGATATGATATGTGATAATATACGAATATTTTTATTTTATATTATGTGATTACAATAAACTCGTAAATTACAATATACATTGTTTTATTTCATTTATTTATATCTCACTCTTCCTAAATTTATCTTTTAAGACCTTATTATTTTACATTTAATCTTTCAATATAGGGTTTCGAAAGGGCCGACCGGTTCAGCGGCATGTTTGTCTGACCGTTGTTACCAAGTGTTATTTATAAATAATAATTTTCCACAGTTGTTGCTTCTTGAAATAACAATTACAAAAATAACGATAGCGATTGCCCCTAATGCGAAGTGAAATTGATATTACCGCGTCACAAAATTCTACCCAACTCACAATATTAATTGTTCCACAAAATAACACTTATTTATTTGTAGTTAATGCAGAGGTTTTGTGGCTGAAACCTCTGCACTAACCGCAAATATCCAACTTGAGATGTATCGCTGAAAAGGCAACTTTAAGTTCTATACAAATGAATATGTCAGCAGATACACAAAACGACGAATGCAGGTTCTGTGGGGAAACACCAGAACGCTTTATCACTGAGTGCGCCGAGATGACAACCATTCGTGCCATAAATTTTGGTACGACTGATATCGGAGATGGAGAATCGTCGAGCCTCTGTGAATCCGTCTCAGATACTGGCTTTTGGCAAAGCTCTGAGATCTGTAAGTGTATGATGAGTTATAACTCGTTACAACACAAAAAGGGGACACACAATAGATCTGAAAGGTCGCGGTGATTAACCCCCCTCCCACGGCGGTGACTACACTAGCGGTAGTCAGACGACTTCATGGAAAAATCTGGGGGCTCAAACCACAGATGGTGCACTGGCTGTACACTGGAGTGGTGAGGCCTTCAGTAACATATGCATCCTTGGTATGGTGGCCTAAGGTAATGCAACAAACAACAATGCTCAGCCTTAGTAAGGTGCAAAGACTTGCTTGTCTGAGCATAACAGGGGCGATGAAATCAACGCTCACGGCATCAATGGAGGCGCTTCTGGACGGAAGGAGGCGAGGCGGAGGCAAGAATGGGACTCTATCGACAACAAAGTGTTTTGTCTCTGGGAAATAGGACAGAAACAGGACACTTAAAGATGAGAAATTCTATCGGAGGACCTCTACTCCAAATGAGATCGGACCAAATGACCACTCTTTATCATTACCACAAACCATTCGAGGTGAACAAAATAGATCGAGGAATGTGGACAGATATAATATTCCTTCAGGATGATCTAACCTGGTATACAGACGGGTCAAAGACCGCTGAAAGAACAAGAGCTGGAGTATTAGGGGAAAGACCAAGGGCAAGCTTATCCTTTTCCTTGGGTAAACACTCAACCGTATTCCAGACAGAAATCTTCGCCATTCTACAATGTGTGAGAGAAAACAATAGAAGAGCCTATTCAGGCAAGCTCATCAATATATGCTCAGACAGTCAGGCGGCACTTAGGGCGCTTATGAGCCCAAAGGTATCGTCGAGACTCGTCTGGGAATGCCTGGGTGAACTGGGAGCTCTGGCACGAAGGAACAGAATTGAATTATTCTGGGTGCCGGACCACAGCAGCATCCAAGGCAACGAAAAAGCCGATGAGATAGATAGGCAGGGATCATAGGCATCCTATCTTGGTCCAGAGCCAGTACTGGGAATACCCAAATGTATGGCCCGTAGTGCACTAAAACTCTGGATCAGGGAAAAGCACAATGTCCATGGGAGAAACAGACAGGGGCACAGGCACAGCAAGGCTTTTATCCAAGGACTTAGCTCTAAAACCGCAAAAGAACTGCTAATGCTTAGCAGGAATAAAGTGTGGATTACAACAGACCTCTAGACAGGACACATGGCTGAACAAGCTCAACCTGTATCAAGGAAGTCTTTGCTGCAGACTCTGCGATAAAGATCCTGAAACAGCGGAGCACATAATATGTCATTGCGAGGCTCTGGATCGCAAGCGATACTTTTTAGTTGGGAAGGCTAGGCTAGAACCGGAGGAACTATGCTCCCATCATATCAAGAACCTATATAAGCTAGTGCAGGGCACAGGGATAGGAGAATGGGTGCAGATATAGAAGGGGGACAAACACAATAGGCCTCACAGGTCGCAGTGTTTCCGGCAGAGAACGGCCCCTTGTTATGAAAAAAAAACCCTCCCAGATATTCTACAGATACACAAAATGATAATTAAAAGTTCTCGACTTAGGACGATTTCCTGATATTCAATTGTTTGTCAACAGATTATATTCTTAAGCCCCGTTTTCAGAACTTCGTAATTGTCGCCAGCGACACTGATTGACATTTCAAAGAACCAATGGGAGTTGTACTAAATTTAAAATTGACACCTGTTTGAATTTTGTACAAATCTCATTGGTTCATTTGACGTGTCGCTCGACAATACCGATGTTCTGAGAACGGGGCTTTACACATACGACCTTTTCCATTATATTTAGTATAGTTTGAACTTAGCGTCTATATAATGTAAATATGTAAACAAATATGTAAAATGGTATTTAAAATGGCAGAATTTTGTAGTTGCCTATTTCAATCACATCAAAAACCGACTAAAATAAAAAAAGGGATTTTTGTTGATATTGATTGAATTGTCAAAATAAACAATTTACCACTAAATGGTAACATTTATACTTTCTGCTTGAAAAGGAAGATGTAATTTTTTTTTTCGAAAATCTGATGAAGGTTGACAAACATACCGGGTGAGTCTCAAAAGGGGCTCACACCTATAACTTTTATTTTTTAGATAAAAGCCTTGTATATGAATTTTTAAAGTAGCTCAACCTAAGACGTTTATGGATGTAAAGCACCAGATGGCGGGGCGTATTTCACAGTCATTTACTACAGAAAAATATTTTTTGTTACTCTGAATTTTGAAGCGACCAATAAAAACAGACTAATCGACCAGATACTTTTTGTCTATTAGATATGCTATAAAAGCTGGTAATTATACAATTCGACCATTGTAAATACCCGACAGATTCCGCAAGGCCGACGAGGCCGATGCTTTTCACTGATAAGAAAACAAAATGTTTCTTTAGATAATTTTCGAG